GACTAAGGTGCATCTGACCCAAGCCATGGTATTTTCAATAACCTCATATGCATGGGAAAGCTAGACAGTGAATAAGGAAGACCATAGAAGAATTGATGCTTTTGACTTATGGTGTTGGAGGAGAATATTGAAAGTGCCATAGGCTGCCAAAAGAACCAATAGGTCTGTGTTGGAAGAAGTGCAGCCAGAGTGATCTTTAGAGACCAGGATGGCCAAACTTCTCTCATACTTCAGACATAATATCATGAGGGACCAGTCACTGGAGAAGGATATCATGTTTGGTAGGGTGGAGGGTCAGAGAACAACAGGAAGAACCCCCAGAGAGTGGATTGGCATAGTGGCAGCATCAATGGGGTCAAGCATGGCAATAATTTTTATCTTCCTCTTGTCAACTTCTGATCATCCAGCCATTGAAGCTAGGTCAAATGGGTACTATCTGCAAGTTTGGGCATTTTTGTGTGCCTTCCCTCACTTCATATCAGCTGGATGCTTCACTCTCAGCTCTAGCCCTCCATGGCTATATCCTTGTCCATGGGCCCAGAAGTCCCCAGGTCTCACCATACCAACCAACACTTCTTCTTCTTTCTCTCATCTCCAGGTTAACAGGAGTCTATGGGATGTGGTCGAACTCAGCCCATATCTTCATTGCTGATTTCCCCCTACTTCCACTCACCAGTAGACCAATGTGGTTGCCAGAAAGCTTACATGCCTGCTTGTGTATTCCCTTTGAGTTTCAGTCCTAGAAGAGGGTTTGTCCTGAAGGGACTTGATTTCTTGCCTTGATGACTCCTTGGTGAACAACTTGCTTGTTCTTGTACTAGCCAATCAGACTGCCATTTTTGTTTTGGATTTTTCCTGTTCATCTTTCTTTCAGGACGTATCCTATGTTCCTCTAGCTGTTCCAGGCTGGTCTGCTTGTCCTTTCACGTGGGAATGTTCTACCTCAGAAGGTTCTGGATGGGGATCAGGATTTCACCTAAGGTTTTATACAATACAAAGTCTCCAGAAGAAGCATATTTCACTGAACAAATTATAGCACCCATTTTAGGTATTCTAGTCAGTTATAATTATGTGGAAAGATAAGATGGAA